ATCTTTCTTGTATATCTTACTGTAAGCTACAGACATTCTCTCCCCTTGATGTACACAAACCGTAGCTATGTATTAGTAAGTTATTTTGATATGCAAAATCAAAGACTGTGGTTGCCATTAAGGGCCATTTAAGACACAAGTGTCCAGACTGTCATACATCTCCTGTCAATTTTATATGCTTGCAAATTGCAGTGTGAAACAAAAACACCATTTTAACCTACAAAATTCACATTTCCAGATCCCTCCCCTATTATTTATGCAAAAGCAATCAACCAAAAGTGTGTAATTACAATTATATTCACATAAATAAGGATGAGCCCATCACCAACAAAGGACTGCATTTCACTGTCAAAGTAACACCGTTATTCTCAACAGCATCACATTCTCAACATATAAATACACAGATCTCAACAGGGTGAAAATTAGAAGACTAGGTTAGGAATCCAATTTCTGTCACTCTACTGGTAAAATACTCTTTGAGCCAGCAGAAGCTCTCAACAGCAAAATGGGGACTGTGGTAATAGTCAGTAATTCCTCCCCACCTTTCCCACAATCTGTGTCCCATTTCCTCTGGAGGATTCAACTGTCCTCTGGAATAGTGGGGAGGGTCACTCTGGGACCACAAAGGGAAAGGGGGCTAGGAGGAATATCATCTGCCTTTCTGTTCTGCGGACAGATGCCTTCAATGGATAAAAGATTATTCTTTCAGGAAAGACACAGTATTGCATATAACATCCAGTTTCAACTATTATGTGAAATGTTACGTTAAAGAACTTAAAACCAATATAACAGAGGAATGTGTTACAGACACACATATTAAACATACATTTGAATAACAAATTGAGACGTGTCAAATAGCAAGAAATAAAATCAATGAAGCAATAACATGATACACTGCCATGATAAACCAGAATGCCACAAAAGAACTCTCACAATTATTTACTAAACAACCAAAATAAATATGAACAAAGTACTTTTGGTTTAAACTGTTGCTAGAAAGCAAGCCATGCTGACAAAAATGTCATACTGTCTTCTGTCTCTCAGAACTCACCTTGCCGTAAACAAAACATTTATCCTACTTTTGTATTTTCCAACAATTAATTCTTTTCTCTCTCCTCCTCAGGTGCATATTATGTTGCACTACAGTGTCAAATACACACACACAACACATACGTGTGTGTGCGCGCGCACGCATGCGCACGCACACACACATTCATATCGGTAATGTTACCCATCCTTTAAAAATATCTTCCATAGCTTTCTCCACCACAAATTGCTAGATCATTACTCCGCCCTAACTCTGCTACTGAATTTACCAGTCATAAATAAAGCAGGCAACCAACAGATAAAACAAATATTAATACTAATGAAAAACTGTAGTGCAGCGTCCACTGGTAGAGTAGCGTCCACTGGTAGAAAGGCAGGATCCAGTGGAATCAGGAGGGAAACAAACTCACCATACATCCCCCTAAAAGTATTTGAAGTACTACAAAGCTGTCCAAGGTGTTTTTTTGGGAATGTATGGAGTACGAACAAAGGTAGCATGATGGCCAGTGTTAAGTTTGGATTTAGTTGTACTAGAGCACTTCTTTCTGCATATATTAAAAGCGCCCTACACATGGAAGAAGATAACTAGTTTCTAATAACAGTTGAACATGGTGGCACAGAAAAGTATGCAAGATCCCAGGCACCACAGTTAAGAAAGTTTTGTCACATTGGACAAAGTAGATGATAGTAGGCCATACAAACCAACAGTCTGTCACCATAAGGGAACTTCATATGTTCATCTACTACGTATGAGAACATTCAATATTCTCAGGTATTATGTCACAGAAAGTATTGCGTCCAATGTAGACTGTTAAATTAATTGTGTGTATATGGTCATCAGCCTATCTGAGAGCCAAAGACAGGCTGTTCATAATTTTCCATCAACCAATTTGCCACCCAGCTGTTTGTACAGACACATCTAAACAGTTCGTATCTGCCTCACAGTGAATTTTATATTATGAGAAAAGTGGAGATTCCCAATGGATAACTAAGTATTTTCCACACAAATCATCCATATCTGCACTGTTTTCAGCTGAAAAAAACACAACTACACCACTTTCTTTTTAAACTTACCATCCTAAACCCAGATGTTAGTCCCAACAGTATAGACCAATTAAATCAATGGAAACTTTGTAAGTCAGCACTTGCACAAGTTACATTGGTTCAGTGATCTATAATAACTAGAACCAGCAACTAGAGTTACACAATTAGCGTCAAGTATGCATTTGAAAATATGGGCAGGAACAGTCTTACCAGAACATTCTTTTTATGATAGTGCTCTTTCTTTACACTGATCAAGAGATCAGGAGGCGAAGAACAATAAAATATTGTAACATTCTTTGAAAATAAAAGAGGGAGAGTATCAGCTTTATTTCTTGTATCAGTTTTTAATGGTATAAGAATGTAGCATTGTTCAACAATGGAGCCTATCATTTTACCCCTTAATTAATCCTCTCCCTCACTGTACAAATTCCTTACTGGCACCTGATAATTAGCAGCTCGGTTTTTGGTATAACACAAAATAATAGTGACTGGATTAATTTTGGTTTTACTCTTCCTGTCCGGTTGCTATATCATCCAGACAGTCCCTAAGAATGTAGATATTCCCAGGATAATATTTGAACGTGGTCTACCAACATACTTACCTGAACTAAGAGCAACAAAATAACTCTAATATAGTACACTTTTTGTTTGCATATTTTGCTATAATAAGAAGCATTGCACTGCAACCAAAATAAAAAAAAGTGTTGCAGTGTAAACTTACTGATGAGCAAAATGACCTAATGATCCTTTTTAGGACCACACATGACAGTAATTTCTATTAATATTGACGGTGCCTCTTCATCTAAGGATGAACTCTTAGTTTCACTTTGCCATGAATGGAAATTTGATGTCCTGAATCCAAGAAACCCACAGAGAAACAGACCAGAATCATTCAAAAGTTCCTGGGATATGTCCTTTGGGGCTATGAACACAATGACAAAACTAGCAAAGCCATTAAAAAATGGACAGAATCCCATTCAATGTGCCTCACACATGATTCTAAGCTACCAAACTCTTTTAACAGTGGCAGGTTTTAGAGAGTCTACAATCCAGATGTAACTTTTGTTTGTTAGCTTATAGCTGAACAGTGCATTAAGAGCATAAATGAACCAAACACTGAGCACAAGCCCATTCTATGTCAGATGTACTCAGCCATCCAACCTCGATCTACAGCATTCTGTAGGAGGTATAATTTCAGAAAAACCAACAGGGAAATGTTCACAACAAGGCTAGACACAGCTTTGCTTCAGACTGCCCCTCAACCAAAGAACTATGACCAATTAGTAACTGCCATTTTGCAATGTTCCCATGCCTCCATTCCAAGAGGATGCATTTCAGGCCTCATTGCCTGAAACACAAACCTAATACTTAGATTATACAGTATTTCATAAGCTTGAAGAAAATCCTTTAAGTGAACTTATGATAAAAACTGGGAAAAACTTGTTCTCAACTCTTGCAGGAAAAAACTGCTATCATTTGGCTATGTGCCTCCAGAAGTATGTTCAGAGAAGTTAACAAATAATGAATAAATAAGGTAATACTGTATAGCACCAGACCCATCCACTTCATGGACACCAATAATGGACAATGGCTCAAATAAAATAAGAGTTCGCGAAGGCTTTCACGGCCGGGATCTAATGGTTGTTGTCAGAGTGCTGTCCTCTGAAGATGCCGACCACAGAGACTGGTGAAACGTTAGGAAGAACAACCTTCAGAACACGGCGAAAGAGCCCGAAAAACCCGCAACAACCAAAATAAGAGTTTTCTGCAGATATCTCAAGCTCTAAATATGAAACCAAAATACACTAGACTAAATCGATGGAGAGCAAAAAACAATACAACGTGCCAAATGGATCAATGTGAAGTGTGTTTCCCACCAGGACAAGGTTCTGGATGGATCATCTGGAATATACTTCAAGGTAAAGTAGGATCAAAGAATAATCAAGTAAAATGGGGCTACTTGGATATAGGGCAATTTTTGTGTGAATGTGGAACAATTCAATCAATGCAGCATTTACGTGAATGTAATTTATGCCCTACCACATGTAGTAATGAAGATCTAGTAAATGGTTGAGATACTGCTATTGAAGGCAATTTTTTTGTGAATGTGGAGCAATTCAATCAATGCAGCATTTACATGAATGCAATTTATGCCCTACCACATGCAGTAATGAAGATTTAGTAAATGGTTGAGATACTGCTATTGAAGTAGTCTGCTTCTGGTCAAAACTAGTCTAATCATACTAACATTTTAAATTAGTTTGAACTTTATATTTCACAGACATCCATAATTTTAAATTGTGCAACACTCTATACAAATAGATAAAGTTTGTACATTTTCTATCCAGAAGTCAACTTAAGTCAGTAAATGTAGACCAAGATACCCTACCATTAAACATTTTTCTGCTGAAAACGTATCAAAATCCAAGCTTGAGCCTTTAGGCTGTTTTAAACTGTTTGAACTGTATACTGTATTTCACAGACATCCATAATTCTAAACTGTGCAACCCTCTGATACAAATAGATAAAGTTTGCACATTTTCTATCCAGATGTCAACTTAAGTCAGTAAATGTAGATCAAGATGCCACACCATTAAACACTTTTCTGCTGAAAATGTATCAAAATCCAAGCTTGAGCCTTTAGGCTAACTCAAACATCTACTTTCTGAAAATCTGTATTACCCTCCAAATCTACAGTGCCCACCACAGATTCCCACAAACTGAAATGCACTCTTTCTCTACTACCTCACTAAAAGTGCACAACATTTTTTGTTTTACAGGCAAGAATGTGCATATATGCAATTACTTTCACATTTCAATTGTAAACAGTATAACTAACCATCCTTTATATGTTGCCTCTTAAATCCATTTGGAAACAAATACCAAAAGACATTTGGAGTTGGGCTTACCTGCTGGGCCTGGTATCGTTGCTGGGCCTGTGAAAGATACTGTGCCTGGGGTGGCAGATGTTGAGGTTGTGGTTGTTGGTTGTAATATGGCTGTTGGCAGTAACCAGTTACACCCTGTGGACCATACTGAGGTGGCATCTGTCAGCAAAAAAAAGGCAAAACAGATATGGCATGAGAAGAAGAATCAACACCAGCAATTGTATTTCCACCTCCATTTATGTATAAGATTATTTCAAAGGATCCTAAACCCTAAATGATTTGACAGGGACATATATCACAAAGTATATGTGTGGGAGCAATTCCGAACTGAAAAGCATTGATGTCTTTCACAAAAATCATATCATTATTTCAATATATTTTATTTAATGAATATTCAATGTGAACTGAACAAATTCAATTTATATTTGACTAAATCAGATAATTCTGTAACTAGAACAATCTAAACCAATGATTATCAGCAATGATTTTTTAATAAAATGGTTCCATGACCTCTATCCTGGTGAAATTTAGAGTAAAATTCAATTCTTAAAACAACCTTCCAGTTTCTGAATGTGAGTTATTGTGATCTAAAGTCACAGACAGGCTGATAATGGGGAGTGGTTCTCTCCTTGCAGATACCTGATTCCCAAACTGTTAAGGGCTTTAAAAATAAACACTAACACTTTCACTTGAGCTGAGAAACAAATAAGTAGCTCCTTCAGAACTGGTGTTACAAGATTCCACCTAGCTATACTGGCTGGGCTCTTGCCACTGTAATTTGTATTATGAGAAGCTTCTAAACCTTCTTCAAGGCCAAGCCCACATACCAGGCCTCACAGTAATCCAGTCAAGACCAGACGGTGACCTACTATGGCCAAACTATCTTTTATCAAAAAGCAGTTGCAGCTGTTTCACCTGCCATCTCTGATTTTAAAAACAATTTTACTCTCCCTTCTATTCTACCTGTCCTTGAAGTGAGTGTGCCAAATAGGTTATCTCTCTCTCATTCATAGTGCCAAATTCAAAGAGGCATTATTTCACCAGCTAACCATCTTATCTATCGATTTTTACATTACAAAAATTAACAATGTATGCATTTTTCTCACAGTTAAAATCACCTTCACTCTCTTTTACAGAGAGGAAAACAGAAAGTAAATGAAATAAATAAATGTTTCAGTATATGATATCTACATAATATAAAATGTTGCCATATTCACCTGACTATTGTGATTTTAAATAATCCAGCAATGCAACTGTGAGTATTATTCGTGCAGGTAGTTGTAGTTTGAACATGTTCTTCAATTTTTCATGTCAATGTGTTTTGATGTACTAAGATTCTGAATAGGTTTGCTAGTCTTCACAGTAAGAGCCAAATAAATAAGTCTACTACAACAAAACAGTCAATCATTTCAAAGAAAATGTAATCTCCTATTCCATGAAAACACAACACAATTTCATTGTCTTGAATGGATAAAAAACTATCTGCCACAAACACTAGATGTGATTATAAACTGTTTTCTGATAAAAAGAAATCTAATACTGTATATGCTTAGATGGCACAAGACAGTATCTTTGTGTTTAAAACACGATTGTTTTCAGTGCTACCAAGTTAAGAAAAACTGGTTCTCTTCTCTACATCTTCTCTACATCTCTGTCAATTAACTACAGTCTTCTTGTTTTTGACACTCACAAACTGATATACATGGAATGTGATGCGGGTGGGTAAATAACAGAAATTGGGAAGGGCATTAAAATGTCTTAAACTTAATATTGTTATTAGTGAGAACAACGTCCCAAAGTCCGCTACATTTCCAACAGCCATACATTGTTCATGAAAGACCGAAAAGCACTAAAACAAATCACAAACAACCAATCCAAGGCTAGGGGCAAGCCCTGCAAACTGATCAACCTTTTTATTTTTAAAGCCAAGTTATCTATAGTAATTTAGATTAAAATTAATTACTAATGTCACATGAAAAATCTATCAGATCACGACAGGTCTTCCTAAGGTACACAAAACTGTAACATCTAGTACTGAACTTATACAGTGGTGCCTCCCTTAACGACAATCCATTCCAGGAAAATAGCTGTTAAGTGAAAACATCGTAAAGCAAAATTAAAAACCCCATTGAAATGCATTGAAAACCGTTCAATTTGTTCCAATGGGGTAAAAACTCACTGTCCAGCGAAGATCCTCCATACGGCGGCCATTTTCGCTGCCTGTATAGTGAGGAATCCGTCCCTAAGCACAGCAGGGAGCCATTTTAAGCACCCAGCAGCCCTTTTGAAAACCTGACGATCAGCTGTTTTTGATCGTCGTAAAGCGAAAATCGGTTCCCTTCCCTAAGCAAAATCCCCCCATTTAGATCATCGTTTTGCGATCGCAATTGCGATCGCAAAAAGATCGTCATAAAGCAGATTCGTCATAATGCGGGGCAATCATTAAGCGGGGCACGACTGTACAAGCAAAGGATGATTCTCAGGACTTACTGGGGCCCTGCTTTGTCAGCATGGCTAGGAATGGGATGCTGCACACCTACACCATCATTCTTTCTGTTGCTGATTGGGAGCATGGGACATGCCAGAGATCTGCATGGCTTGCACTGTTTCCCCTTGTTTCCTCTCTCCTTTAGCCAACTAATCATAATACATCTTGGCCGTCTGGAAAGGCAGGACCTCTGAAGAAAATCTAGGAAAGGGCAGACTTATTTCTGTTCTGTTCTGGGAGCATGAAGGCGGTCCCTCAACTCAGAGAAGCCAGGCAGTCTCCTTCGACCTTCCCCATCTAGCCTACTTGGACACAGGAGAAAAGTCACCTGACAGTCTCCAACACCCATGCTGCACCAGTGCTAATTACATTTGTGACCAACAAATTTGTGGACATATTTTATTATTTCTATGGGGAAAAAAATATTGTGTGAATTTCTCTGTTTGCTTGAGACATCCACTTCACCACACATACAAATTATACTTTGAAATTTGGTGCTGTTTGCTAAAATAACGCCATTTTACTAATGAATTTTAGGAGACTGCACATTCACTGAGGATGGACATGCCTCACTCAGTCTGCAATGTTTTTTAGGCTACAATCTTCAGAATCCCCGATCCATCCACTGATTCTGGCAGCTGTGATCCCCAAAAGTAACTTCTCCAATCTCTGTACAAGGCAGGAAGAGGGGTGGGAAGAATACTATATTACCAACTGCTAAAACCTTCCCTTGTCTGATGCCCAGCCTCCTTCCTTTATTCATCAGAAATTACTTCATTTCTTCACACAGAATCCAAGTCTGGAACAGAGACAGCTATGAGCTGGATAGGTCAGTAGATTATATATCTGGAGCCACTAGTGGGGGGTTCAAATCAACACTGTCTCCTTGGCAGGGGCTGAACTTAGTGATCCATAGGGTCCGTTTCATCTTTGCAGTTCTAAGATTATTACTACATTATCATAACTATTTTGTGCCAAACAGGAATTTACATCACATATTTCAATATCAAATGAGAAGAAAACGTGGTTCACTTAAAATTACCTTCAAATTACTGTTTAAGATACCACTAAAAGTATGTGTATGCAAAAAACTATCAATGTGATTAACTTTTACTTTGAAGATAATTTCCTTCCCACTCTGAATGCAAAATGATCATCTTATTTTGTGGGTCTTCCTTTACTCATGAATCAGGTGTGCACTGGAATATGCATTTGCACTCTAAAACAAAAGGTTTCATTCTAAATGACACCCAGGGTTGAACTCACTTATACACGTACACAAAAATTAACACACAAGTGTATAATTCTAGCTTTATATTCAAATGCCCTAATTACGTAGTTTAAACTTAAAGCACATTCAAAGCAGCAGTTGAAAGCATTCAGTAACTCAGATCCATAAAATCTACAGAGTACTTTCTAGCAAGACAGCTATATAAAAGGGAATATTCCAAACTATAAAACAACGTTGTAAATTTTAATTCAAACAAACATGAAACTGAAAGACAAGAAATTCCTTAATGCTGACAGGCAAAAATGTGTACTTTGGTGGAAGTGCAGAAAAAAGTCACTTTCAGTCCTGTACCAAAACCACTTAAGGCACAGTAAGGGGTCTCCGAGCACATGCTTCTCTTTTTATATATGTAGTACACAGCTTTGGCAAAGTTTACAGCCTTGCCAAGCATTCCTGGAGATCACTGCTATAAGAAAACACATTGCTCTTCAAAGTTAACGACACAAAAAACCTTTTAAATTCGCTTTTCCTTCGGGGGGGTAAAAATACAGTGGTGCCTTGACTTACAAACTTAATTGGTTCCAGAATGATGGTCATAACTTGAAATGGTCGTAAGTTGAAGCACCATTTCCCATGGGAATGCATTGGAATGTAATTAATCCATTTCGGCCAAAGAAAAAAAATAACACCGACACACAAAAAATTACCACTGCAAGATGCATCGGAAACGCAATTAATCCATTCTGGCCAAAGAAAAAACAACAGCAGAAAAGCAAACAAACCTGCAACACTCATCAGAAAGGCAATTGATCCATTCCGGTCAAAGGGGGGGGGGGAAGCAAAAAGCAAACAAACCCTGCAAGACCTGTCAGAAATGCAACCCCATACACACACAAAACCCACCAAAAAGCAAACAGAGACTGCAAGACCCATCGGAAATGCAAAAAGAAAACCCCAAAAAGCAAACAGAGACTGCAAGACCCATCGGAAATGCCAAAAAAATCATCAAAAAGCAAACAAACCCTTCAAGACCCATCGGAAATGGGGATAAACCCCCCCAAAAAGAAACAAACCCTGGAAGACCCATCACAGCATAGAAACATAACCCCACCAACCAGCCCAAACCCACACTGCAAAACCCACCCAGAACAGCCAGTTTTTAAAAAGTAGAAAGCAGCACCTTACCAGGCAGTCCGAAGCCTCCTCTGAACACTCTCTAATGATTGGGGCAAACAAGCTAAAAAGAAGGAGCCTCTTAGCCACCAATAGTTAGCAATTTGAATTTCCCCACCTTTTTCCCTGCCTTTTTTCTGGTTGTAACTTGAAGCTCCAATCACAGGTCAAAGCAAAATTTTGCTAACGGAGCTGGTCGTAACTCGAAATGGTTGTACGTCAGGATTGAGGCACCACTGCAACTTCTTTCTCAACACTTCAAAGACA